TCCTGCCTCCGCCTCCCAAGTAGCTGGGACCACAGGCGCCCACCACAATGCCTGGATTTTTTTTTTGGTTGCAGCCATCATTGTTGTTTGGCAGGCCTAGGCTGGATTCGAACCCACCACCTTAGGTGTATGTGGCTGGTGCCTTAGCCACTTGAGCCACAGGCACCAAGCCGAGTTTTCTTTATTTTCATGAAAATATATTCACTTTGTATGAAAATGTACAAAAACATAATAGACATTTTCTATATTTAGTTTTAGCTACCATCAAAGAATTGAAAAATGGAAGCAGGAAAAAAAAGGCAAACGTGATCATTTTACCTGCAAAAGGAGATTTCAACACAGGACTGTCCTCCACCATCATACATTCTTGTGTCTTACGTCCTAGCCTTTGCTTGTACTGCTGCACAAATTCAGCATGGATGGAGTCTACAGGATTCACTTCACTTGACGGCATGGCTTGAATATCACTCCCATGTTCGGAAGAGCACAGCAGGTCCTCAGCATGCTGTTCTGCTTTCGTCAGGTCACTACCAGATAATGTGCTCAAACTGTCAACAGGAAGCTTCAGAACAGCAGAGTCTGCCTCACCAAAACGCAAGGCACTTGCTATACCAAGGTCATCATCCTCAGGAATGGGGTTGTACCATATTTCTCCTTCATCATCTGCATCATTTTCCTCGTTAAAGTCTAAAGAACAGTTTCTTGATAATGAAGAGTTCGTAGCATTACACATCATATATGTGCAGTATTCTTCAGAGGAGCTGAAGAAAGGTTGCGATAGCTGATGTTTAGGTAGGGACACGGGTGAGATGGATAACTGACTTCTGTCTTGGCATTTCTTATTTTCGCCTTCGAGATTAAGAGATCTCAGAGTGCTCTGATATAACCAATTGCGTTTCTTCGAGACAGTGATGCTGTTCAGTGGCTTTTGACCACTGAATTCAATATTATCCTTCAGATCTTTAAGTTCTCGTCTCTTCATTGAAGACTCATAGACATTTTCAAATAAATCTGTTTCAGAGAAGAACAAAAGGTAGAATATAATGCCTGGATATCAGGAAAGACATGTTACTTCAGAACAGTTACTAAAATTTTTATAAAAAAAAAAAAAAAAAAA